CCCCCAAAACCCCAAAACCCCAAAACCCCAAAACCCCGATATTTATTATTAATATTGAGTTCTTTCTTTGATCAAAATGTTTACTTGAAGCTACATATCATATTCCTTTAGTTTCTCATCCATACTCCTTTGGGAAGCGTCAGAGTACTTCACTGAAGGATCTTGCGGTGAACGGATCAAACGCTTTTCTTTGGTACCTCTAAAGAGAAGCGAGAGGGCTAGGAAAGAATAACTCTTAGTCCTCTGCATTAAAGGATCGGCGTATGGGCCTGATGAGTAAGATCTAGGTAGTTCTTCAACAAACATGAAGTCTCCTTTGTGGTTTACTTCTCTCATCTTAGCAATGAACTTCTTTGAATGAGCTGCACAAGAACTTTTTGTTGAATTTTTAGTGTCTATAAGCAATTTGAATGCTAAGTTTTGTGAGACTAAGTAAAAAATTAAGAGAATGAGTTGTTTTAGAATGCTAATTTGGCGCCTTAGCTGGGAAATATACCATATTCGTTGTTAAGGGTAGGGTTTAACGCTTTAATTGTCATTTTATCAAGAATCTAGCTCATCCATGCTTTTAAGATGGACCAGTTTAATAAAATATGTTAAAGTTCTGATCATTTTAGGAGAAATCTTTACCTTCATGATCGTATGTTAGCAGTAAATCTGTAGGATAATCCTGCTCTGGGCTAATAGGAAGCATATAAGGGTTCATAAGCTTCAGAATTTTGTAAATTTCTTCATTTTCAACAGACCCAAATTCTTCTGTTAAAGCTGATTTCTCATTGGCAGACAGATCACTTGAATTAAGGTATCCAGTCAAGTCTGTTATGGGGTTATGAATACTAATAGCATCATATAAAAGAGGCTCTCTAAGCATGGAACAAAGGGCAAGGACTGATCCGCTCAGACCTTCTGAATAGATGCCAAGAGAAGGGGTGAGTTGTTTTTCTTTCAAGAAGATACTAACATCGAGGAAATCTATATCATTGCATAAAGATACTTACGTTCAATTCTTCTCAGGTTTAGCCCACTCAGGTACCATTCATCATCCAGATATTTTGTACCTCTGACCATTGGATATGCGTACACAATACCTCTGTCCATGAGACTGACCTTAGCTTGGTCAAATTGGAAGTCTTTCTTGCTAGAATCGGCTCCAAGTGTATGCAGCACAAATGGACTATTTTCATTATATTCATTGACATTATAACTCAGCACAATGGGACAATCCTCAACTGTGATCATCTCAGTTCTGTACTTCGAAGGGTCAAAATTAGAATAATGGTCTAAATGGATTGTGTCCGTCTTGTGAGTCCCCATATTATGCTCATTCACCTTATCAGGCAGATGAGGCATTGAAACTCTGTATCTGAGATACTGAGTGTTATAAGTCATGTTGTCCTCTAGTTTGAGAGTGTAGTACTCTTCAGGAAGAGTCACTGTATTCCATCTGTTGTTCTTTAAAGTCAAGATTCTTAATCTTTCAGAAAGGTTTCTCTCTTCTAGCACACAGAGGTTATGCTTGGTTACCTCAAAATCTAATAGTTTAGCGTCATAATCTGTTTTAATCAGTTCAGTAGGTTGAACTATCTGGAGTTGGTTGGTCCCTCTCACTTCGATAGCATCCTTTCTATTCTCAAAGTAGTGGCTTTCAGGAAGAGTGATCAGTTTATCTCCTGGTAACTGGAGTCTTTCTTTCCTAACAACTTCAAGAGCTGTATGACTCTTAGGCTTGAACTCAGACGCCTTATTTGATGGTTCATTTAGTAAAAGATATTTACTAGGAAGTGGAATTTTAGTAATTTTATAATTTACTCCATCCTCTTCATTTGTCATTTTGTAGAAAAATTGTTCACTATGCTTTACTGTGTAGTTAATTCCATATTTCATTGGGCTGATCAGGGAAAAGTCACCCTCTGTATCTTTTGTGTGCTTGAACCAGACTTCATTGGTTAGTGGCATGAATCGAGATTTTATATTGATAAATACGTATTCATTGCTTGAAGATGAACTAACCTCAACTTCAAAATCAGGATTAGTCTCTTCGTATATCAACGAATCATTACTCTGCATTGTGCCTAACTGGTGTCTACAAATTCTGTAGGCTATAAAATTCTAAATTTGTATTACCTCTTCCTTCAGCGTCTTTCAATGGATAATAAAAACCTTGAAATTGGTCAAAGACTATAGAAGCCATTAAAATTTCCACTCTTACCGACTCCTTCAGAATTTCTCACAATGATAGGCAGAAGCTTGTCAAGCTTGAGGTCTTTGATGACTATATCATAAGTCGTTCCATTTCCAAATGTATCGAATACAATAGCTGCATAGTTCTCATCATGATTGATATTAAACCAGTATAATGGACTAAGGTTCCCTTCGTCCAAAGATTTCATCAGTTCCTCTATGAATTCCTTGATAGCAGGGATCTTGAGAGCATACTCATCGTAAAGATGTGTAAGATCGCTGAGTAAGAAGACTCTTTGCTCATGCTCGAGGTTCTCTGTGGGAATCTTTCCACGATCAGTTATCTTATCAGCAGGATACCTGTATATTGTCATGTTATCTGCTGGGTTATCGATATTTCTGTAATATCAAAACTTTTCGTAGAAAATAGGCACGAGTTTGGGGTTGAACTGCCTGTTTTCAATTTCTCGTAAGAAAATCTAAAAATAAGACTAAACCCTTACCTCTTCCTTCATCTTTGCTTTGAAAAGTAAGGAATTCCTATATTGGTTCTCTTTGTTCATAAATGCTTTATTCTGCTTGTCTGTTGGCTTATCCAGATACTTATACGGATCCAGATATTTCTCAAATTTATTAGATGTCCAGGTATCAAACCTAATGTGTTTTGGCAACTGAGCATTTTTGATCAACTCTTTGTTAAACTTTTGCATATTTCTGATCTTAGTAGGTCTTCTTTTTAACTGATTGTCAACTTTTACTTGACTCCGAAGGAACTCAGTCTTATCTGACTCGAATACAACTTCTTTGTAGAGAGCTTCCTCACTGGTGCTGATTTGTGATCCATCTTTCTTGGGGAAATACCTTGAGCATTAGTTTGTCAAAACTTACAGTGAATGACCGCTGATATTGTACACATGTTCTCTCTTAAATTTCATTGTGAGCTCTTTGTTCGTGTAAGCAATCAGATTATTCAATACTTCCTTCTGTTCAGGATCAATCTTTCTAAGAATTAGTGGAAAATTATACCGAAGTCTTGAAAATTTAGTTAATTGTGGTGCTTCAGGGATGAATTCCTGCATCTGTGTCAGGCTTTCCTTGAACTTTTCAGTTCCTTCAAATTCTTGCAGCCTTGGGTCTTTGTATGAGCTAAAGATGTATTATAATTTGCTGAAGCATCTCAAATTTAGGATGAAGTAATAAGAAGACGTACCCACTAGCAACCTCACTGGCTTTTGGAATCTCCATCGGAGTGGGTTCTTCTCTCATGAGTAACTCTGAGTCCATTGTTTCTTGAGTTTGAAGATGAGATTCAGTCGATTCTTTCTTCTCCGATTGATCCAAATTCTTAACGAACTGTCTTTCTCCAGTAGGAGATGTATTTGCTGGTTCTAACTTTGGTAAAAATCAGAGCGATCAATCGCCAATAGTTTAAAATATGAAAATACATTTGAAAATCTAAAGAATATCTTACTCTGAGTCAAATTTTCCTGAATGTTTGTTTGGGTAATTTCTTCAGAGTCCGTTTCTTTAGACACAGGCTCTTGGTTGCTCTTCTTATCTCTCTTAAAGAAGTTGAAGAAGGTTCTCCTGTGAATATGAGAGTAAGGTAACAAGCGAGTTTGGGGTCTACAAGTCAATGCTTTGAACATATTTATTTAATTTCAACCACTCAATAAAAATCTGGGGTTTTGGGGTTTTGGGGTTTTGGGGTTTTGGGG